GTGGTATTGATACGCACAAATGGACTTGTGCGTGTATATGCTACGCGATGGGTAGAATTAGGGTTGTGGGGTAGATGCGTATCATATGCACGCCAACAAATTTCGTATCATATGCACGCGAAAACTGAGTATCATATGCACGCTAAACACGTGCGTAGCATATACACGTCAAAGTCCATTTTTGCGTATCAATACCACGAGTTTTCGTTTTTATTTGGCGTACTATTTGAATGTGACTAACCAACCCGATATGGCCTAAATGGTCTTTCCAGAGATGCAGTAATGTTTTGCCAGCAGGTGTTTATTAGTGTTATATTTGCAGGAGCAGCATCATTTGTAGAGCTCTCTGTAGCTCGGTCTATTAAATGAATTATTGAACTGAAACCTGTTTTGAGACCACTTTAATGATTTATAGGTCTTCGTAATGTGGCATCATTTTCTGAGAGGAATAATAGAGAAACAGCATGTGCCCCTGTCCTGAGGAGAATAGAGCACAAGCGAATCTCAGTGACTTGTAGATTAATTAAAATAAATAACATTTCAACGTCTCCATATGGTTGTAGAGGAATAATGCACCAATAATATTTTATATTAATGTTTTGTGTGGTTTTCCAAGCACGTAAATATCCAACGAGGCTGTCAAATCTCCTGTCTATTTCCTATAAGATCATGTTTGTGAAATTAGGTGGTGCTATTTGTTAGCAAATGTCATGTGTTGAGGGGAGCAGCAACAGACAGACTCTAAGCGGCATTATTTAATGCAAAAATAAATAATTAAATAAATAAACAAAACCGTTTCGATACCAGGCAGCAAAATGATCTTAGACTTATATTTCGAAATGCTTTTCTTGATTCATAAGGCACTGCATGCAAAAATGATTCTTTTGGTTGGATTTAACTATTTTTTATTTCAACAACCTAACTTTGCCCAACAGTCTAAATATTTAGCAAAATATCTCATGTTTCAAAACAGGTACAAGCTCTGTAATTGTGCATTTTCAAGATATTACTTGTCAGTTTCATTTTTTATTTTCTTTCATTGCCATTTAATGAGGAATTCTATCTTTTAAAAGAGTTCTCC